TTACCTACTAGGAGTGGCCCGGACGGCGTCTTGTAGTCGTGAAAGACAAACAACTAGGTGTACGTGAGAAGGTTAGTTAGTTCATCTACATGAGGTGTATTGTTCTCTCTCTCTCTCTCTCTCTCTCTCTCTCTCTCTCTCTCTCATCTGGCGCATTTCTATCCTGGTTTGTAGATTTCATGTCACTCACACAAAGTGGATGCAGGTCGATGTTTATTCATTTGGAATAGTTATGTGGGAGCTTTTAAATGGAGATGAACCTTATGATAAGATGCACTCCAGTGAAATGATTGGTAAGCGCTTTTGAGTTTGTGAAGTTTGTTTGATGCAAATGAATTATCTGTTGAAAAAGAGAGAAGTTCAATGTAGAGCTAAAGTGGTGAGGCTTTCCTAGATTGAAAAACTAAATATTCTGGAGAGAAAAACAATTGATTTTAATATACCCACTTTTGTTTTCCATGTTTATTAGAGTGATCTTCTATATATTGCCCCAAATATTTGCATCCGTACGACCCATTTCTAATACATGCCTTTTTGTTGGATGCTATTAGAATCTCCTTTAATAGATTCCTAGAGCCTTCATACACTGCCATTCTGCTGTTTGCTCATACACTGCCATTCTGCCTTCATACAGATTTGAAGATCAAAGAGATGTAAAGAGAACACCACATGTGTTTTACCCATCAATCAAATACTTTTAACGATACATACATGATGATTACTTCTGCATGCATGGTTTTGAGCTATAATCATTACTGTTTTTGTTGATTAATTGCTGCTATGGTTTATAGAGGGGATAATCAATGGTGAACTGAGGCCAGAGATCCCGAGCTGGTGTGACCCCTTGTGGAGATCACTGATTGTGAGATGCTGGTCCTCCAATCCTGATGAGAGGCCGACTTTCTCAGAGATAGCAAAGGAGCTAAGATCCATGGCTACTTCTATGAACATTAAGTGACTATGAACATCGACTGATTGTTAACTTACTGCTTGAGCTGAAGTGGCTCTCATAGGAAGTTTTGCAGGTTACAATGATAATGCAATAATAGCAGTAATAGTATGTATATGACAGAGACAGTACACAAAGGCATGCCGAGATGTCGTCAATTGAACCATCCGGCATATATTGGTTTTTGAGTCCTGTGATCTGTACTTTGAGAATGATATATACGGTCATGTGCAATGTGAATATGAAATTATGGGGGTGCTTTGAGCAAAATTATGAGTCTTTTTCCTGGTCAAGACAAAAGGCTTGAGATCTTTCATATGCAGCTTTATGATAAATTGCAGGAGGTGTTTGCCAAAATAAAGGCCGGTGCAGGATACCAAGTTTCTGTCCCCATTGTCCTGATATTGGAATGCTAATTTTTTGTCCCCATTGTCATGATATTGGAATGTGTATCAGGACTTCTGGCTGAACAAATATAGATGAGAAATGTGTTTCATGGAATAAAAAAGAAAGGAAAAAGTTTATATGAGGTTGCAACTTTAAAAATGAAGAAATAAAGATGCACCTAAAAAATCCATTAGAAAAGATTGTTTTAATGTTGAAAGACCCTCTAATTGATCATCTTGATATTTGAGACGTATGATTACGAAAACAAAAAAAATTGAGTTCTAGAAATAATGTATCTTGCAACACATTATCTAGACCGTCTTTTTTCAAATTTTTCATATGTTTATAGATCTACTTGATTTTAACCATTTTTGGGTTTTAAAATTTTATAATTAGATATGAAAATAGATTTTCACGTAATCTTAAAAAAAATTTACGCCAAAATTTTATGTTATAAAATTTGGAGGTGAGCTTTAATTGGATTGTTTAAGCTTACAAAAACCACACCCTAAAAAGAAAGATGCATTCCCTAAATAATTCAAGTTGAAAAAGTGGCAGGTACAATGAGGCGATTGCAAGTGTTGACCGAATAACTAACCAGAAAGTGGTTTGGATTTGAGTGGATAGGGCTTGGAATTCACTTGAAAGCTGAAAAGATCTACAGAGTCATAGCCTCCATCGTTTTGAGTTTCCGAGGCAAACCAAGTTCTCTCTCTTACACGCATGTGGGCGCGCATACACAATAAAAAACCAGATAAACGCGCAGCCACTACAAATGACCGTCATACTACTAGAAAAACTCCAACCAAAACTCCACAAGCAATTCACTTGATATGAATTATTAGGAGGCCTCAAATAACTCACATGATTCCAGATAAATTACGAAAATCTGTTTCTTAAAGAACCCACACAACAAACAAAAAGGCACTTGGCCCTTTTAACTTTTTTTCGATTTGGTGGTTTGGTAGTAGGAATTGAAGTTGGAATTTAGTATGGAATCGATAGTGACTTACCAATCATGCCCACGCCGATTCCTAAAATAGTAATTGCTCTCTACAGATCAGATGAAGCCTCAATTGTTTACGAATTCCATGCTTGTATTAATTTGAACTTAACATCAGCTATTGACAAGAATTTAATCTGATCCCAAGTATTTAGCCCAATGGAAGAGCATCATACATACATGTCATGTATCAAGCCGCATGACGAGGCCAACCAGGCTTATTTTCAGTGATAACAACAAATGTAGCAAAACTCAAAACCACACATGAATATCATGTTCCGAGCATGCATATATGATTCACTTAAATCCATCCATGCATGAATTACATGGTGACATGCTACAAGTTGGACACAGAGTTGGAAGTGGTGGGCCCCATATCAGCGTTATGACCATTGGCCCAACCAGCAATGAGATGGTGGGCAATGGCAAATGGGCCTGGAACAAACATCTGAGCAAGTTCACCACTTTCCACATTGAAATCTGCTGAGAAACTGTGTCCTTTCTCCACGCCTTTGCACATCTGATCAACTTTGAAAGCTGCATTCCTCTGTGCTTTCTTGTATTCAGCAGAGGCCAAAGCTTTCTTCACATCTTCCCGGCTGTGCCATTGGGCATCTACACACGAGAGACACAAATTAAATCCATAAACACTGTCATCATATTGGATGCAAAATTACAGTGTTTGGGCCACTGTTAATGCAACAAAAAGTTCTTGAGTGCTTTTATAGAAGAAAAAAATACTGATTTCATCCAAAAATAAGAGGCATTCTTAAGCAAAACTTATCTATCAAAAAACTCGGGGACAAATTATTTATGTCAAATTGTAGCCTTGAAGCAAAACTAACTACAAAGGAAGTTCGAGACAAATCACGAGAAATATCATTGATATTTTTCATGTGATTATTAGGATGTTAATCCTTCCAGCTGCATATGGTAAATGACAAGGGAATTTCACGACCATTTCAGGGGGAGACTAGTGATCACAATATTAAGCTACCACCAATTGGTTGACATTATCTATAGCTTCATATCAATATGGATCAGACACTGTCCAATGCAACTCAACCCTCACATTCTGCCCCACAAAGGAGATGATATATCAGTTCCTAAAAGGGAAATTGATAGCATTCGTTGTTTGTTCAGTTAGGTAGATGGGTCCTCCACTACTTCTAATTCATCTTTTACTCACTTGGGTATTCATGCTTCTGTTAATCATATCTCTTCATCTGTTTGGGCAATCCTGGAACATTTATAGTGGAGCTTAACATCAGATGTATGGCATGTCTCCCTTGTTTTCTTCTTATCCCCTTTGTTTGGTTAGAGACAACGTTAGGGTTGTTGATGGATCCTTTTCTTCAGTTCTTCACATTCTTTGCTTTGCTATATAAACTAAATGTCTATAGAATAGAATTAGCAAGAGTCTAAATTGTAACGTAACCTTCCCTTGAATCTCTCCTTCCCATTATGTTTTTCAGGACATAGGTACGAGGATGACCATTGCCAGTAGTCATGAAGTTGGTGGACTCTATATTCTACATGCTCCACATGCTCTTCAAGCATTAGCATTAATATAGATCAGATGTAACATCTTCATCAACAAAAAAAAAGATCAGATGTAACAGTGGCATCTCCGACTTGGTCGTTGGTCGTTCCAGCCATTGAAATTTTTATTTCTAAGTCGTTACTTCAACTAGTGTGCCAGAGGTTCAATGTGAAGTTTGTGAACTTCTAAAATATTACAGAAATTTTTTGTTTACCCAATAATAATGAAAGTGTTGTTCCTTTTGCTATTATCCATACTGATGGGTACTTCTATTTTTGGTTATCAATATTTTATTTCTTTTGAGGATGATTCAATACACGTATCTATCCCATGAAACACAAAGAAGAGGTTCTTAATATTTTTAAGGTCTTCTATTAGATGAAGCATGCTCAATTTTATACTAAAATTAAGGTGCTTAGTTATGATCAAGATGGGAGTACTGCTATGATGAGTTGTGCTATTTGGAAGAGCATGGATAGAACATAGTTCTTGCTCATATGCCTCGCAACAAAATGTGGTGGCTGAAAGAAAGAATGGACACCTCTTGGAAGTTAGTTGTGCAATTCTCTTGAGTATGATTGTAGCCAAGAAGTACAAGTTATGCTCGCAGCATCCTACCTTATCATATGCCTTCTCGTATTTTAGACTACAATCCCCATATAAAATTCCATGTCATTTTCCACTATTTAGTGTTCCTCCTAAATCTTTCTCTTTGTTTGCTTCGCTCATGTTCTTGATACCGACCGTACAAAGTTGGACCTAAATCCGTGAAATGTATTTTTCTTGATTATCCTTCCTCGCAAAAGGTTTTAAATTTTATAACCCATTGTGGGAAGACATTTGTTTCGATGGATATAACCTTTGAGTCCACTCCTTTTATTCTGACCTCTCTTCAAGTGAAGCACAATGAGGAAGAGAGATCTTCTATTCTTCTTCCTACCCCCATTTTTCCCGATTCTAGAGCTCAAAAGGACAGCAGGGGGCGTTCTTATGATGTTCGAAAGAAAGAATTAAAAGTCCATGCTCAACAGGAAGAAAACGAACAGAGACGACATCCCGTCAAGACAATTGCATACCTCTGATCCAAATAATCTCATCAGTTCTTAGTGTGATGATTTGGATTTGTCCATTGCTGTACAAAAAGGTAGATGCAGTTGCACAGTTCACCCAATAAACAATTTTGTTTCTCATGAGCCCTTGTCACCTTCCTATAGTGCTTTTGTGCCCTCTTTGCCGTCTATTTCTATTCCGTTTAAGTGTTATAGAAGCTTTTAGCTCACATCAAGTGGAAAGAGGCTGTATCCAAGGAGATGTGGGCATTAATCAAGAATGGTACTTGGAAACTAGTAGACCCTCCTAAAGAGAGGAAGTTGGTTGGTTGCAAACAGGCCTATGCTGTAAATCATAAGATCGATGGTACAGTTGACAAATACAAGTCACAATTAGTAGCCAGGCGGTTCACTCAGACTTGTGGAATATACCACCAGGAGATATTTGCCCTTGTGGTTAAGATGAATTCCATTCAGGTTCATTTTCCTTTGATAGCTAACCTGGTGTGGCCGTTGCACCAATTGGATGTCAACAACACATTTCTTCATTGAGAATTATAGGAAGAGGCGTATATGATACCTCCAACTGGATTTTGTGCTCTTGGATTTGAGGAAAAAAAATTATAGACTAAGAAAGGCCATCTATGGACTAAAGTATTCTCCTCAAGCTTGGTTTGAGAGGTTCAGCAGTTTCGTTTAAAGATCTAGTATACCCGGAGCCATGATGACCATACCTTACTTATTAAACATTACCAGGACAACACTATTGCCCTAATTGTTTATTTGGATAACACGTAATTGTCCCAAGGAAACTTAACAACTTAAATTTTTTTTTGACAAGAGAATATGAAATCAAAGATCCAGTTCCATTGCAGTATTTCCTAGGAATATAAGTGGCTAGGTATGAGAGAGACATCTTTATCTCTCAAAGGAAGCATATACTAGACCTCCTTATGGAAACATGGACGCTCGAGACTAAACCAGCTAACACTCCTATAGAACAAATCACAAACTTGACAACCAAAGGCGCAAAGCCCTTAAAGATGTGGGTATGTTTCAAAAATTAGTGCGTTGACTGATATATCTTTCACTTGAACACCCAAACATTGCATATGATGTGGGCATTATTAGTCAGTTTATGTCTCCACGAACTATCCATCTTGAGGCTGCTGCTAGGGTTCTCAAGTACTTAAAATCATCACCAAGTAGAACAATTTTGTTTGCCAATCATTGGCACTACGCTTGAGGCTTACACTAATGCAGATTGGGCCAATTCTATTAAGGATCAAATATCGCCATCAAGCTACTATACTTTTATCGGAGGTAACTTGTTGCTTGGATAAGTAAAAAGCAGTCAGTTTGATGTAGGATAAAATTATTCTTATTTTTAATTTTTATTCAATTTCAAATGATGCATATTTTGATTCTAATTTTACGATTTTTAAGGGTTTTTTTTTTTTGTAGCAATCCTAAGTATTTATTTATTTTTATTTACTGTTCACTAGGTACTATTCACATATTAGTGTTTATAGGGATACAATTGTCATTAGAAATTGTGTGCTTAAATTAGGAATTTTGGGTCATTTTAATTATGGGTGTGGTTTCTATAAGGTTGCAACCTTAAACAATCCAATCAAGGTGCACCTCCAGATTTTATTATAGCATGTAATTTTAGTGTAAAAAACTCCTAGGATTATCTGAAAATCTATTGTTATATCTAATTATAAAATTTTCAATTCTCAAAATGGTTAAAATCAAGTAGATCTATAAATATATGAAAATTTTGAAAATGGACGGTCTAGATAAGGTGTTACGAGATGCACTATTTCTAGGACTTCAAATCTTTTTTTTTTAACATTTATACATCTTTATGTCGAGGTAATCAATTAGAGGGTTTTTCAACATTAAAAAAGCATTTTCCGATAGATTTTTTGAGGTGCATCCTTAATTCTACATTTTAAGGTTGCAACCTTATATAAACTTTTTCCTTTAATTATTGTATGGACATTTAATGTCTTTGAGTATGAAATTGTAATATATGAGAGGTGGTAGGGGCTTGAAGGGGTCATTCCACGTGATTTTTTGAAATTGAAAGAGAAAGAAAAGCATAGGCTTTTGGAACCCTAGCTTAGGCCAAGGAGGAAACCCTATGTTTCTCCTTGTTATTGCTTGTGTTTGGCATGTTTTCTTGCTGATTTTACTGCTTTTTCAAATTTCACTACATCACAGTTGTGTGTGAACTACTTTGACTACAAAACTTGTCTTCCGAGAACTTGGCTTTCCTGTGAAGGAGTCAATGTCCTTGCATTGTGATAGCAAGGAAATTAACTCACAATCTGGTCTAGGATGACAGAACTTAGCACATAGAGGTAGATAGACATTTTATTTGAGAAAAGAGTTGCCACCAGAGACATTTGCTCTCCATATGTTAAAACAGAAGACCATCTAACCTATATTCGTACCAAGGCTATTAGGAAACCTCAACTACAAGTGATCTTAAGCTAGGTGGGCATGACTAATATCTATGCTATTTTTTTGGGGGGGCAGGGGGCAGAATTTTTATCTATTTTACTTGTATTGCTAAGGATGCCTTTGTCTTCTTCCTTACATAAGGGCAGTACTGTACCTTAATACTTATTACTATTAAAAGCATAATTAAGTGGGGTATGTAGATTATTATGACACTATGGCTCCTATTTCACATTCTCTCCCAACATAGCACTCTCTCTACCCTTCTATCTCTTAAAACACTTTCTCTTCAGCACCCTTTATCTTCCTCGCTCTTCTTCATCTCTTATCTACTAGATTGTTGAATTTTAACTTAACATCCTAGCCTGCATGCAATGTTCTACCTCACATTAGATTTCAAAATTAAAAGTGATCTTGATTTGGTTATATCAATATAAATCTGTCAAATATTGATGAATGCATTGTGGAGTTATATGCGTACAAAAGCACTACATATTCTGTATGTATTTTGTGTCCATAAAAAAATTTTAATCGGAAATTTTCCTTTTTTCCCTTTGGACCCCAAGGGTATTGTGGTTGTCTTAACATCATACCTATTCGTGTTATCTCATTTTTCACAAATTCCAGTCAAAATTAACACAAAACCACAGCTAGAAATAGAAAATTTGAAACTCTAGCATTAGCAGTTGGAATTACATATATTTTCTTTGGTTCTTGTCTATGATTTTTAGTACCGGATCACATTTTCTGGGCATAGAGAGATTTTTAGTACCGGATCACATTTTCAGTCAATAATCCCCAACAAATCCTACACTGTACATAGAGAGATGGGATCAATTCCATCAAATGAGAGTTGCCGTTTGCGTTGAAGTTCAGCATGAACATGACCAAAAAAATAATCATGCATGTAAGATTCTCTTTCAACATCACAGCAATATATGGCTATGAATGCACAATTCTTTTTATAGTACTATATGAGCACATGCCATAAAGAGGGCACCGTATGACCTGAAATTTCCAACCTTTTTCAATCATTAAAGTTCTAAATTAGAAGCCAGTAAGTACCTTCCAACTCTTCCTTGTCCACACGTATTTCAAAAGATTTGGCATATGCAAAGAATCCAACCATCAACTGGCATGGCATACTACTTGGTCCAACTGCAAATAAATCACAAAACACGCATAATATTAATTCACCGCTTTGTGAAAACGAAATCCTCATAAAGACCCTATCAAGGAATTCACTTAACAAGGCCATTTAATAAATCCAGGGAACCACTAAGAGACATAGCATTTCTTTTGGAAGTAAAATATGGCTAAAGAGAAAATCTTAACGCGTTTTGCATTTTTTACCTTTTCTGGTTAAATGATGTTCCCATAACAAATAAAAATTTTCTAGGCACCAGATATGTTTCTTAGGGTTCCCTATACATGTGCGACGGAAAATCCTAATGGAGAACAACGAGAAAAAATATCGCTACTCATATGCAAGGAAAACTTGGAGAGAGCAATGATGCCAGGAAATATAAGCTCAAATATTAGCCAAAAAAACCATGCTTGATGTGGGGGGTTCAACAGCAAACACAAATTCTACCGAATTCCTTGGGATCGAGTGTGTCAACCCAAAACGAAAAAAAAAAAGTGGAAGCCTAGATATAAGAAAGCAAAGACAAAACAACTTGGCTCTGCTGGGAAAATGGTGGTGAAGATATGCAAGTGAGGAGGGCCCATTGTGCAGGGAGGTCATTGTAGCAAATATGGCACTGAAAATGCGGGTTGGCTCCCCAAGTATCCCTCTCACAGAGCCTCAGGTGCATGGAAAAGCATAGCAAAGTGCAGACGAAAGTTTAAGGAGGAGACAAGATTCCGGTGTGTGATACATCCCCCACAGACAATCCAGGAGTACATACAAGCTTAGACTATTTTTTGTGCGAGGGGTATGAAACACCAGACCAACATGCCTATCTCGGCCGTCCTCAACAATTGGAGTCATATTATAGTATTAAATCCAAGACTCCAAGTAGTGTATGTTCCCTGGTCCCCTCCAATAGGGAGCCTGACATTGAATTTCCCTCGGTAATCCTCGCCCCCCGCCCACTGGTTTTGAAGCAATCCTAAGCAACTCCAATGGGTCACAAATCCTTTCCTCAGGCTTCATAGGACACAGATACTACTATGGCAGAAAAAATTGTTCTATTAGAAGATCTAAAATGCACCCTCCAGGCTAATGTTGAGTTCACCAACTTAATAGTGGAAGGGAACTCTAAAAATGTAATATCCTGAGCCACTAAAACAGCTCAAGCTCCATGGACATTAGCACACCTATTTGACTACACACATGTGCTCTGCAGGAACTTTCTGGTCAGTTTCAGGCACATACGGGCCAACAACACTGCTGATGGGTTGGCCAAGGCAGGAGCATCCAGTGGAATAGGTCCGCCTCCAATCTAGCATGCCTGCTGCTGCTGATGTGTTGATCTCAATTTCCTCTCTCTCTCTCTCTCTCTCACCCCACCCCCCCACCCCCCCGTTGCCCACCAGACTCAGCAGTTCTCCTATCTCTTTCGTGGCTCCAAGCTCTCTCCCTCTTCTCCCTGTCCCACTCATCTCTCCACCCCACTTCCTCCCGACACAACTGTAAAAAAGATGACTAGATGTTCTAGATACGAACGTTTGCTATGCTCTTTGAACAACATAGTTACTTTGCAACTTTTGCAAACCACTGCATAGACTAGGCCGTGGTTATCAAGCATTGACTCGTGAACCAACATAACATTACTTAATTATCTCACACTCATTAGAACAGATAAGTACTTCTAGTTGGGGCCTTTGGCCCTCTAATTAACACTCAATACACTTTAATATGTCACTCCTAGGAACCTTTCTCTTCCACCCTCTCTCATACTGTCACTTTTTCCTCATCGTGATGGAAGACATTATCTTAACCAACGACATATTATATATGATCTCCATAGGTTAGAGAGTCAAATGCATGTATGCCCAACAGCACCCTCAATTGAGTACTTACTGAACAAGGAGTGGAAGGTTAAAGGTCCGTATTAGAGGGTGACAGAGAAAACATGGGTATGTGCTGTGAATTCTTGGGTGGAGTCCTAATGGGGTGAACATGTGGTTGTGATATGATCAGAGGTCTTGAGTCCTAGAAAAAAGGATCTAGGCTCCTGTCTAAAGAGGAGATAGAATCTCTACAAGCAATAGTCATCATCATAAGTGCACAAGCAATTATGATATCGAAGACTGCGCTCAAGCAATTATGATATCGAAGACTCTTCAAGGATGGCTCTGTTTTGTTACAGCTCCCATCAAAGGACATGCCTCAGGATTAAGAGGTTGAGCTTCGATTTTTGTATATGCACTAGGAGTCCTCAACCTTTGGCATTTAGTTTGGAAAAGTTGACAGTTTCTTAAGAAGATAGATTGGCATGCAAGTTAACCCTCAACGAGTGCATGGCTTCCTTCTAGGTGCAATCAGTGAAGCTAGTCTTGTCAGTTGGACATGACATTTGAAGTGGTTGCATCTTGTTTGGAGCAATGCCAATAAATTGGCCCTGTCAGACTGTGAACCCATTCTCATCCAATCCAGAAGGTAATATGGACTTTTTTTAATTAAAATACCAGATTGAATAAGAGAGTATTCAGACCACCTCTGGACTGGCCAGTTTGAAATGTTCAGATGAACTGGCCCATCCTGAACCCATGTCAAGTGTACCTTTTTCTGTTCTAACTTTTTTTGGCCATTTTGGCATGAATTTGTTGGTTTTATTTCTTTGTTTGTGGTGTTCATTTTTACCATGGAACATTAATTTTGGCACCCTTCACGGAAATTGGAATATAATGGCATCCAAGCTCCATTTTCGTTTTCAACGACAGTTCAGAGTCACACATTCCTCATGTCTGAAATGTATTTGCATAATGGAGAAACTCCCCTTTGGCTGGCACTCGTCCATGATCTTATCACTAAGCAAGTGGCTTTTGTTTCAAGTTTACGACAAAAAAACTTTTTAGACCAAAAATCAGGCAAACATGGTAGTATTTTGAAATGTACTCCCTCACAATGTTATTCTTTTTAGAATATTGGTCATGGATTGTACTCCAACCTTCCTTGGTGGTTGGGTGAAACAAGGAATCATGTGTGTGAGTTACACATGCCTTTAAAAGGTTACATTTAAAAGGTTCCTCGCTTCATTTTATTTCCCTTCATATTCTTTCCAAGGCCAACTTCTGGTCCCAATCCTCTTAATAACCTTTTTCCTTTGTGCCAAACTGTTCTTTTATTAATCACCTTCAAGACTCTTGTTAGATGTTGTTACTAAATTTGCCTAAAGATATAATGTGAAAAAGATTACAAATCCAACAAGCGAGGTAACATGAAGCAAGTACGATATGGCTAAGATATACCAGGCCAGGGTTGAGAGCTGTGATAGACAACATCCCCAATTTCAATGCCAGTTTCCTCGATTGTTTCTCTCCTCACTGCTTCTTCTAAACTTTCTCCTGGCTTAAGGCAATATACAGAGCACAAAACATTGAACAATTATTTCAGATAATAATATCATTAAATAATGGGAAGACCAGGTATGACACTCAGGGAATGACTTAGCACGAATATAAAAGGCAAATGCTTCGTTAAGTGAATAATTTTTCAAGTCCAATATTGTGTCCATATCCTAAATTTCATTCTCCAAGATTATAACATAGTGAGATTCAGGATGTTATTCATAATATCAGTAAAAGAGTTACGTTTATAAAAGGATCACAATCATGTAGACGTAAATTTGATGAAATTGTTAACAAGCAAAGTTGACTGAGATAAGAGGTTGGTGCTACAATTCTTGCACATGCTGGAAACATATCTAATGTTCGGTTCCGACCAAGGGAGGGGACAAGGGTGAAATTTTGGACAGATGTTTGGCATGGCCACTCTCCTCTCCAGGAGCAATACCCCAACCTTTTCCTTTTAGCTCATGATTCTCTTTCTTCGGTTGCTGATAATTTTAGTGCTTCTAGATCAGCGAAATCTTGGACGCCTAATTTTAAGAGATCTCTTTTCGACCATGAGCTCAAGGAATTCAGTTCTATGGCTGGAAGAATTCACTCTATTTTTCTACTGCCTTCTGGAATCGACAGGATAATCTGGGCCCCTTCTCCCTCAGGTTTATTTTCGGTCTCCTGCTTTCATCGAACTCCAAAGGAAAGGGGTGCAAACCCCCAATAGATGTGCATTGTGCATGGAGGATGAAGAATCTAATGAACATCTTCTCCTCCACTGTGAATTCTCTAGAGCAGTTTGGAGATGCATTCTGACTTTGTTCGATTGGGCATGAGTCACCCCGAGATCCATTCCCCACCCTTTTCAAGCTTTTCTCCTATTACCCTGGCCGAAGGCAGGAAGACTTAAGTGGATAGCTTCGATATCAGCCACTCTTTGGGTACTTTCAATCTCTTTGGGTACTTTGGATTGAAAGAAATCACAGAACCTTTAGGTGAGAGAGATCCACGGCTGAGCAATTGGCAGAGAAAATCAGGAACCTTGTGGCTTTTTGAGCCACCAATCACACTCTTTTCAAGAACTTATCCTTCACTGACTTCCACAGCAATTGGTTAAATTAACTGAGTCTTGCCTTTCCCAGAGTCTCGAGGGCTCTGTGGAGACCACCGGAAAGAGCAGCATTTAAGCTCAAGTTTGATGGTTGCTCCCTGGGCAACCCGGGGCCCTCAGTTATATGGGGCTCCTACGTGCTAGTGATGGACGTATTCTGATGTCTATCTCTCGCCCTATTAGTGTCGCGGACTCCACTCTTGTTAAGGCCCTTGCCCTCTAGGAGGACCTTCGTAAGTGCTATTTGTATTCGAATTTATGGCGAAACTTTTATAATCTAGACTGCTTTCTCTGTTTTAGTCCGTGATTGATTTACTATTTCTTCTTCCCTAAGATCATAAAATTTTTTATTTTTAAGGGAATGAGTTTGCTTCTTTTTTTTTTTTCTTTTTTTGGCTTTATCCTACACTTAAGAGGCACGCTTGGAAAGTTAAATAGATTAGATATCCTTTTGTAGATATTTAGATTTTCTGATAATTGTTTTGCATTTTTATGTATGTAATTTTGACTTTTTTATTTTTAATCAAATATAAATTAACTTTATTATTTTATATTATTACCAATGATTTACTGTTGTCAAAGAAATTTTGGTTTTATTTATTTTTCTAAATTTTTTAACAATTTTAAAATTCTTCATAAAAATTATGCATTGTTTTCTATGAAAGTAGGTAAAAGGAAACCATCTTTCATTCCTTTTTTTCTTACTACCAAACATTTTTTTAAGTTTTTATTATTTTAATACTTTAAAATTATGTAAAACTAATTTCTATAAAATTTTAAATACAAAAACTTTTCATCCCAATTTTACTTTAAACAAGCAAAGTTTTATTTTCAAAAAACCTTTTATATAATTTTCAAAAACTACCATTGTTAATTTTCCCTTTTTTAATTAAATATTTGTGCATTTCATGATTTTTTAAAAGAGTTATTATTATTTTAAATATTTTTATTAGAAAATTATAACTGTTCTACACTCCATGCCGATTTTTTATCTATAATTTTTCTGTACCTAAAATATCTATGAGTAATTCAAAATTTTTATTACATTATTTCAATAGTTTGAAGGTCATAACATTCTCTTCATTGAAAACAGGAAACAAACTTTATCTCATTTTAGAATATTTTAAACACAATGAAACCAATTTTATTTATTTTTGGAAAATTACAAATTTCAAAGTGTCTCAAATAAAAAATGTTGTACTTACTATAATAGCAGAAAATCAGTCCAAGATATCTTCTATTTATAAATGTTGAATTTCTGACACCACAAATTTTTGTTAATACCATCTTCCTTTCCATATCCTTTGAAATATAAAAATTGAAGTTATCTTAAGCAAATTTTTTATTACATGATTTGGCACAACTACCTACTATAGGGTTGTAAACTAATGTGTTCTTCTTTTTCTATTAATGAAAACTTCAGGTAGGGGGCCTTCTCTCCCCCTGACTTGCCAAAAAGAAAATTTTCTATATTATAAAATTTGCTTATGATTATTTTCCAAACTTTTTGGTATAATGTTTTCGGATGTAGGAATAATTTTTAAGTTCCATCTAATATTAAATAAGTACATTAAAATTATATTATTAATTTCCTTTGTTCTTTGATTTATTTTTATTTTCATCTATCTTTGCATATATTTTAACATAAAATATATCATTGATTTATTTTTCTCTCTAAAATGCTTTTTTCATTCTTCTACCTATCATTGCATTTATACGTGCAACGCATGTAAATCTACTAGTATATGTATGTGTATGTCTCTCTCTCTC